GGAGCACTGGACTGAGCTCCCAAGGTCCAAATAAGGAGCAGAAGGAGGGAGAATATGAGCAAAGAAGTCAGGACCACAAGGTGTGCACCCACCCACTGAGACAGTGGGGCTGATCTAGTGGGAGCTCACCAAGGCCAGCATGAGTGGGACTGAAAAAGCATGGGATAAAGCCAGACTCTCTGAACATGGCAGGCAATGAGGGCTGATGAGAAGCCAAGGAAAATGGCACTGTTGTTTTTTATTATTATTATTTGTTTGATGTTATTTATTAAAGATTTCTTCCTCCTCTCTGCCACAGCCTCCCATTTCCCTCCCTCATCTACCTGAAGAGCAGTCAGGGTTCCCTGCCCTGTGGGAAGTCCAAGGACCACCCACCTCCATCCAGCACTGGGTTTTGATCCTACTGCATGCACTGGCTTTGTGGGAGCCTAGCCTGTTTGGATGCTCACCTTCCTAGACCTGGATGGAGGGGAGAGGACCTTGGACTTTCCACAGGGCAGGGAACCCTGACTGCTCTTTGGACTGGAGAGTGAGGGGGAGAGATGTGGGGGAGGGGGAGGAGTGGGGAAGAGGGGAATGGGAGGCAGGGAGGAGGTGGAAATTTTTTCAATAAAAAAATGACTGAACATGACAAGGCACTACTAAAACATTTCAGAGTATTGATGATACTCTTCGATATTTCCAAGATGTGGAAGGTCCCTACTTCTGAAGAAATCAGGTACTTCAGACACAGCGCACAAAGGTATCTATGCTGAACATGACCTGAATATCTCCTCCCTGAGCATTAGCTCTCATGATACCAGAAAGTGTCGTGTAAGCATCTAAAGATGTGAAACAAACAGGAGTCCTACCTAGCTATAACATCTATGAAAGATATCAAATAACTCTAAGTGTGCATTAGTGGTACTCATATCTTGGAGGTAATCAACAGCTATTAATTTTAGTAAAGGCCCACCCAACAACAGGAACATCAAGCCTAGCATCCTTGGCAACTACCCATAAATATTGAAGTCATAAATCTTGGAGGAGAAATCTACCAGAATTTATAAGAAAAAAACAACCAATACTTCACAAAGTCAAGGAAGGAAGGAAGGAAGGAAGGAAGGAAGGAAGGAAGGAAGGAAGGAAGGAGACAAGAGAAACAAGCAGAAGGAACACTTTCAAACTCCATCTGCAAAGCTAGTATTACTCCAATACTAAGCCCATGTAAAGATACAATAACAGCAAAACCTATAGGTCTGTATCCCTGATGAACATAAATGCTAAAACTCTTGCAACAGAATTTAGCTGGAAAGATTACCCACCACAATGAAGTTGATTTTATCCTGAAAATGGTGAGAAAGTTCAACACAATGAATTGAATGAACTGTAAATGGTCTTAAAGACAAAGGACACAGAATCATCTGAAGAGATACAGAAAAGGCTTTTGAGAAACTCCAATATGCCTACATTTTAAAATTCTTAGGGAGAGTAAGAACAGAGAGAGCATACCTCAACATAACTTAAGCTGTACATGAGAAAACCACAGCCTACATTATATGAATTAAGAGAGGAATGCAATCCAATTTAAATAAAAAATGAGTGGGGGCTATCCACTCCTTTCCCTCTTTTTTCAATAATGTGCTTGAAGCCATAGCTAGAGTAATAAGGCAAGAGAAGGAAATTAAAGAGGTACAAATATGAATAGAAGTCAAATTATTCATTTATATTTTATATGTAAAAGGTCACAAAATTTCATCAGAAAATGTCCAGAAATAATCAGTAATTTCAGAGAAGGATCAATATACAAAAATCAACTTATAAAAATCAGTATCTTTTTTGTATACCAATCACATAAAATTTAAATAATAGCCAAATATCCTTCTTTCTCTTTCGAGAAGCCACATGAAAAAGGTGTCACACGGACTGTTGCAACAGCTGGCAAATGTTACAGAAGAAGATTGTGGGTTCATCACCCTGGAGACCAAGCTTAGAGGCAAAAAGAAAAAAAAAAACCTAGGATGTCAACAGATGTAGGCTTTTGTGAGCCCAGCAAAAGATTCTAGTGGACTTTGATTTGGCATTTTAAAACTTTTTTTAAACACCAATCAAATACTTCCATTTCTCTCAACATTTGATATTTGGGGTCTTTTTGATTGGCTTCCTGGGCAGGTACCCCAATATTGCAACATCTGGTACCACAGTTTCTCCTGGTAAAAGCCATATCAGTTGTCCTCCTAATCAAACAGTGGAAATTAGAGTTACCTCTTCAGAAGCAAGAGAGATGCTAAGAGCAGTGAGTAGGGATAGTTCTGGAATAACCATTTTGCAACAATGAGAGTGAAAGAGAGGATGTCTCCCTGCTGGACAAAAGAGCTCCTGAAAATGTCTTGGGCTTAGGTCCAGTTTGTGTTCTCATTTTATACTTTAAAATCACAAGGTCGGAAAGGCAAGCAAGCAAGATTTTACAGTAACAGATATGGTAGTCAGCAGGTTCAGGGCAATGACTCATTGTTTCAGGCATTTCTCCACCTCACTCTGTTTTAGGTACCAAGTGAAGTCATTTTTAGCAAATAGGAGTACAAGCAGTGATTTAAGTCAATCACAAATAAAGCAATAATTCGACATCGGCTAATTGTTATTTGTACTTGATTCTACTTCAGCAGGAGATAGAAAGTAGCTAAGCTGTTTAGGATAAAAACTCGCCAAAGAAAAGTAATCAGTTTCTTTCTTGACTAAAAGCCAGAAATGTTCTTGAGACTCTAAGCAGTTTTGTTTTTGTTTTTGTTGTTATTTTTTTTTCCTGTCAGAGGCCAAATATGCCAAAAGAGTTTTGGGATCTCTGATCTCTTATCTAAAGTGATTTTACAGGGTTTAGAAAGATAGAATGTCAAAGTAGCAGTGAAGGCCTGTTAAAATAATGTGCCTCCTGGTCACAAAAATAGAAAATCTGTGATCTATGTAGAGCCATAATATTCCAGGGGAGCCAGGCCAAACTGCTAGCCAAAGAGTCACCTTTAGGAAGGCTGGCTTACCTTAAACCATGCTAATGAAGCCGGGCAGTGGTGGCGCATGCCTTTAATCCCAGCACTTGGGAGGTAGAGGCAGGTGGATCTCTGTGAGTTCGAGACCAGCCTGGTCTACAAGAGCTAGTTCCAGGACAGGTTCCAAAAACCACAGAGAAACCCTGTCTCGAAAAACAAACAAACAAACAACAACAACAACAAAAAATGCTAATGAAATCAGTGAAATAAATAAATCTTTTTAGTGAGAGTTCAACTCAAGATTATAGGGTCAGCTATGACTAGACAAGGACTCCCTCTCTACTGCAACTTCTTACTCAAAGATAAAACAGAAAAAGAAAGATAACATCTTGATGAGTTTGAGGAAAAAGTGTTTAAAAATCAGAAGGGATTTGTAACAAATATCAATTATGAATCTTTTCTATCAAATACTATAAAACATATTTAGAACAATTAAAATCTTTTTTTCTTCTGTCTTGTAAGATTTTTATTCAAATGTTTTAATAGTACTTATTTTTGGTTTTTGAGCAGATAATTGGCCATAAACAAAATGTTCTCTTATGTCTAGTGTAGTATATGCTTTCTGAATTTTATTACCTAATTTCAGTCAAGGCTAGGATTGCCAAGAATGGTGGTATTGATCTGTGGAAATTGAGTTATAAGCTAAGGATGATATAAGTTATAATTATTTAAGATTTGATTGAGGAAAAAGCAGGTATCACTGAAACAGATTAATGCACTAAATTTAGTCCATGGCTTATAAGAAGAAATAATTCTATATAATGCATTATAACTCTAATCCTTAGAAAGAACTGGGGTAAATGTATATATTTCTTATTTTTATCAAATGTTCTTTGCTGTATAATTTTAGCAAATGTAACGTTATTTTTTGCAATCCTTAATATTTAAGCTATATATGTAAGGACTGGGAGGAGTACCTATGGGCAAATGGAAGAGCAGCTCCGCCACCACAGTGGCTTCATTCAGGTAAAGAGCAGAAAAGTGGGAAAGGAATTGAAATTTTCCATTATTTGTCACAGATTGGCCATAAATAGGGGAAACTAGGGAAAAAGAATGAGGGTTAAGTTAAAAACTGCCAGGTGATCAATAAATATCTCTCACTGTAAACTGTTACTGGGAGGGGTGACAGAGAGACAGAAAAAAAAATCTACACAATTTACTTCAGTTCCACAAATTATTTAACCCTTTCAACTAGTTGTTCATTATTAGTCCATAAAGATTCTATCGTTCTTAGGAGTGCCATATTCTTCCTTAATGATAGAATATGGAAAAGAAAACTGAAACCTAGTAACAAGTAAATTAAGGTATCTCCATGATCATATAAACCTTGTATGACGTAATCCATTGTATTAGTAAAAAAAAAATGCAGTAAAATTTGCAAAGGAAACAAAAACTGCCATATTACCTATTATCCAGCAGGTGGCACTGTTGCCGAGTCGCGACTAGAACTGCAGCAAAAGTGACTAAAACGGGGTCCTGTTTCAGAGTCAGATTTAGTAGTTGTTAAAAACTGGGAAATGTGAGTTTCTCATCAAAGTAAATGTAATTAAATCAATTCCATACACGGAACCAGAAACCCAGAATCCAAGGGTAGAGAAGAGCAACCCCGGAAGCAGAGTCGCCCCGAGGAGTTGCAGTTTTCGGCAAGGCCTGCGCGCTCTGGTTCGCGCCGCGCCACGTAAGCGCTGCGCTTGCAAGGGAGATTTAAAAACGACTCAGGAAAGAGCAAACCAGGCAGGCAGAGACAATGCGGGCCTGTGGAGTTTAAATCCACAAGGGGAGGCAGGGCACAGGCCGTGGCTGAGGAAGGGCTCAAGCCAAACCGAGCTGGCGGCAGGCAGCCCATGGGGGAGGGGAAGGAGGGGTCCTAAAACGAAACGTTCGGGCGCCAGATGAAGGCGTAAGTCACAAACAATCCCACACCAGTTTGGAATTATGATTAATAGAATGGTTATTTATTTAAAGGGGAAAACTTACAGATCACCATCCCAGACAACAGCCCTCTGCACAGTCAGGAAAGGAGCCTAGTCGCTGGAAGCGGAGCCGGAAGCCAGAGAGAGAGCAGAGGGAAGTGGCCGCTTTTTTAAACGGAGAGAGACCACACCCCAATGGGCTGGTATCTCAGAGGCTATTGGCTGGAGGAGCGGAAGGAGCTCTCGCAACACCACCCCACCCCTATCCAATCCTCAGAGACGGTAGGGCACAGTGCTTTGTGGAAGGTCCAAGGCCCTCCCTACTATGTCTAGGCTGAGAGTAACGTGTACATCTGAAGAAAACAGGCTCCCAGAAAGCCAGTACATGCAGTAGGGATAAATCCTGGATTCGGTTTGCCAGTATTTTATTGAGTATTTTTGCATCATGTTCATCAGTGAGATTGGTCAGTAATCCTCTTTCTTGGTTGAGTTTTTGTGTGGTTTTGTTATCAAGGTAACTGTAACTTCATAAAAAGATTTTGGCAATGTCCTTTCTGTTTCTATTATGTGGAACACTTTAAAGAGTATAGGTATTAGCTCTTCTTGGAAGTTCTGGTAGAATTCTGCTCTGAAACCATCTGACCATGGGCTGTTTGTGGTTGGGAGATTTTTTTGGTGAAAACTCCTATTTCCTTGAAGTTTATAGGTCTATTTAAATTGTTCACTTGGCCTTGATTTAATTTTGGTATATATTATCTATCTAACAAAATTGTTCAGTTCTTTTACATTTTCCAATTTTGTGAATTACAGGTTTTTGTAGGATGACCTAATGATTCTCTGAATTTCCTCAGTGTCTGTTGTTATGCCCACCTATTCATTTCTGATTTTGTTAATTTGGATGTTATCTCTCTGTCTTTTGATTAGATTGGATAAGGGTGTCTATCTTGTTGATTTTCTCAAAGAACCAGCTTTGTTTCATTGGGTTTTTGTGTTGTTTTCTTTGTTTCTATTTTGTTGATTTCAGCCCTCCATTTGATTATTTCCTGTCTTTTACTCCTCCTGGGTGAGTCTGCTTCTTTTTGTTCTAGAGCTTTCAGGTGTGCTGTTAAGTCACTAATGTGAGCTTTCTCTGTTTACTTTATGTGGGCACTTAGTGCTATGAACTTTCCTCTTCACACTGTTTTCATAGTGTCCCATAGGTTTTGATATGTTGTGCCTTCCCACAGAGAGGCCTCAATTTTTCCTAAGGGCCCAGGTCCCAGGACCCAGGGTCCAGTTCCTTGCTTGAAAATGGGCCTTCCTATACACATGCTCTGACAGGCAAGTTCGGCTTCACTTGGTGAGTTCCGTTTTTTAAACTGCATGTGGGTAGGGTTTTGAGGTGACCCATTAGATTTTTGTGCTTTTGCTGAAGTCACAGGCTGTGCCAAAAGCTTGACACTCCTGCGGCAGAGGCTGGACCTCCTGCTGAGATGAAAGTTTGGTTGCTGGAATACATTCCCAGCCAATTTCTCATGTACCCCCCCCCGGTCCCCCCCCCATTTCCTAACTCAGCGCCATTCTGGTGGATCCACTGCAAGGGGCTCGTGTCAGAGGCATGCATTTAAAGTGGGTTTCTTGTGAGTCCTAGCCGATTTCAAATGCCCTTATGTGGGCACGTAAAAACCTTTTTAAATTGCAACAGTCTAATTTAAAGCAAATTACACTCCAAAGTCTGTGGGTTTTTTTTTTTTTTTTGGTATGGTGCTTCTGTCCCTCCTCTTCTGCTTTTCTTTCTTTGTTCATTTGCAACTACGCTTTGTCCTGCCTCCATTTTCATCTCTCTCTGTTTTTCCCTTGCTGACAGCTCTTTTGTCCCACCCCCACTTCCATTCCAAAGTGCTCCAAAGCTGCGAGCAAGTGCACGCACACAAAAGTGATGGATTCCTAGTTAGCACCTGGTGCCGCAGGTTCATGGAGGGGCATTTGCCCATCAGTTTCACTAGCCTGCATCAATACAGGTTCCTATCTGGGCCCCAGCACAGGCTGGGTGCTTAGCCTTACATTCTTCACAGCTCTTTCCCTGGTCTGTGTCGTCCACACTCAGAACACTCTGGCATCTCTGCTGCTGCCCCGCCCTTCCCTGCTAACAACAAATCCACTTTCCCCCCATTCTTCCACTCTAAAACGCTACAAAAATGTTTTATCCTTATGTTTCTGTTCTCTCTTTCAACATCTATTCAGCTGATACAGGTCCCTAAGGTTGTTCTATCTGTCTCTGTGTTAATAATGTGGCCACGTTGTGTTTATGTAAGTGTGTAACTGTGTTTCTTGATGTGAATTTAAGTTTTGTGTATATATATNATATATGCTTCCAGATTACAACAACTCTAAAAATTTAGTTTTTATGCCCAGTTTAAAATACCAGGTAATGGTACCTGGCTCTCAAGTGCCTTAAAGATCTGAGATCATGGCATTTTAACAATAATAGCACTTCTAACACAGAGACATGCCAGTCTTGCAGCACCCTATGACTCCTCTAAGAAGACTGAAGACCTGCCATCTCCAGGCTTGCTCTGAGATGACAAAGCCACCAACACAAAAACAAAAGAGGCCTTTTACCCAGGGAATCGATCTGCTTATTCTGCCAAGACAGGTACGACAATCTTCCTGCTCAAAAATCTTTGGGCCTCTCACACTCAACAGCTAATGGCTAATATTGCTTCTACAAGGAGAGGACTTAAGAGTGCTTGCTAGCCAAAAGCTGTCTCGATTTTTGTTCATCTATTCCTACCAGATCTGTCTAAAGGCATTTGACAACTCAAGGTACTGTTCTTTAACAGGCTTCATAGTCCAGAATTAACAGGTTAAAACCTTCAGAGGTTCAGAGTTCCCAATTTCCTCTAATAGCCTTCTAATATTTACATTATTAGAATGTAAATAAATAGGTTTATTCTAACCTAAAATAATAGCCTTTAAATATGACACCAAAATATAAAATCTGTTCCAGTTCTCTTACGGGTTCCTGGAAAAGTTCTATCGCTGCACCAAAATCAGGTCTGGTAAAAGCCAAGGCTTTTAATTTTAATCCCAGACAGTTTGAAGCATATTTTGTATGTTAGTCCTGCTACCTAAGTCAAGTCAAACCTACAAAATACTCACAGGACAACACCAAGAGCACCTGTACCAGCTCCTGGGACTTCATGGGTATCAGCTCTCCTGGATTAAGGACACCTACTGACTCTTCTTGGTCAAGGACAGCTGCCAACTAAAATCTGATTTCATCTGCTATTGTGTCTCATATCCCATTGTTAGCTCCATTTTATAGGACCAATGATAACAATATTTTTTTCCTCCTAGACACCTGCCTTATTACCTCCCTCAAGAAACAAATGCCTGGTGTCTCTGGGATGACAGTGAACAGAAGGCCTTTCCAGCCACACATCCTGCCGAACAAGTACCCACCAACACCCAGCTCTCCACTTCCCCACATCACCCAGGCCCACAGGAGTTTGCAAGCCTTGAGTCTATGCCATTTTTCCAAAGAGAGCTTAAAATGGTGGTCATAATTATCACTTCAACTTCCTGTCACCCCTATATCCAAAGAGTCTGGAATGTTAAATCTGGAGCATAGCCCCAGCCACTGGCATTCATACCAGCCCCTGGCCTGGGAGTTGCATTGGTCTGGACTCCAAATCCCAGCATGCCAGTGTATTAAAATGGACTCACAGAGGACAAACATGCGGCTCAGGTTTGCATGTGCTCCCGATGCTTTCCTGTCTCCCTACCATATGCTTGGCCACCTGAGAGCACCGTATTTAATAAAATGATGGGCATTTTAATTTGATTTATTCTGACCTAATTGGATTTCTTGGAACTGGTGGAGCCGCCCCTTAAAGATTTTTTTTTTCCTAACATAGATAGATTTTCACGATTGAGACTACATCTTGATGGATTGTTCCTTTTATGAATATAGTGTTGTTCTTCATCTGTTCTGACTGATTTTATTTTGAATTCAATTTTGTTAGATATTAAGATAGCTAGACCCACTTGTTTCTTAGGTCCATTTGATTGGAAAACCTTTTCCCAACCCTTTACTTTGAGGTAGTGTCAATCTTTCTTTCTTGTATATATTAGAAGGCTGGATCCTTTTTTTTTTTTTTTTTTTTTTTTTTTGCTTTTTCAGATTGCAGCCTCATGGCAGAGGTACTGGCCAGAGCCATGTTTGTTGCCACTTTTTTTTGGTTTTTCGAAACAGGGTTTCTCTGTAGCTTTGGAGCCTGTCCTGGAATTCCCTTTGTAGACCAGGCTGGTCTCGAACTCACAGAGATCCGCCTGCCTCTGCCTCCCGAGTGCTGGGATTACAGGTGTGCGCCACCACCGCCCAGCTGGATCCTGTTTTTGTTTACAATCTCTTAGCCTGTGTCTTTTGTGTCCATTGACATTAAGCGATATTAATGACCAGTGGTTGTTAATTCCAGTTATTTTTCAGTAGTAGTGTTCGTGTGTTTCCCTTCTTTCGGTTATGCTGATGGGGGTTTATCAGATGCCTGTGTTTTTGTGGGTGTAAAAGTTCCTTGTGTTGGGATTTTTCTTCTAGTACTCTCTGTAGGTCTGGATTTGTGAATATGTATTGTTTAAATGTTTTTGCAATGGAATATTTTGTTTTCTCCATCGATGGTAATTGAAACCTTTGCTGGGTATAGTTATCTGGACTTGCATCTGTGATCTCTTAGGGTCTGCAGCACATCAATCCAGGACCTTATGGCTTCCATGCTTTCTATTAAGAACTCAGGTGTAATTCTGATCAGTTTACATTTATATATTACTTGACCGTGTTTTGCAGCTCTTAATATTCTTTCTTCATTCTGTATGTTTTGTGTTTGGATTATTATATGGCAAGGGGACTTTTTTTTATCCAGTCTATTTGGTGCTCTGTAAGCTTCTTGTACCTTTATAGGAATAGCCTTTTTTGGTTTGGAAAGGTTTCTTCTATCATTTTGTTGAATATATTTTCTGTGTCTTTGAACTGGAGTTATTCTCCCTCTTATGCCTATTATTCTTAGGTTTGGTTTTTTTCATGGTGTCCCAGATTTCCTGGATGCTTTGTGTTAGGCATTTGTTGGATTTAATGTTTTCTTTGACCAATGAGTCTA